AAGTCCTTTGTAGAGGAGAATGTTTATTATCTGTTGACTGCCAGGTTATCGTAAGCTACATCTGTATGATATTCAGAGGGGTTTTGTAATTTTTAAAGAAACACTGAGATGGAAGAAGATTTTGGATGCAGAATGAGTGGAACTTAGGCAAGCATGGATTCTCCTTCCTTACTGCTATTTCCCAAAAAAAAAAAGGCATTTTGCTTGAAATAATATCAAAATCTCAGATTTTTTGTTTCTATAATATGGCTTTAAATGTCAGTCGTATACCATGTGCAATAAATACTAGAAGCGTTGGCTGCACATGCCCAAGGTAACACTACATCCATATTTGTATGGTATTCTCTGAAAACATTTTCATTCATTGAAATTTATTGTGAGGCAAAACGTGACCCAGTTTGAAAAGTCCAACCGACCGCCACAGATGTGACGGCAGTAGAAACAAAGGGGTTTATCTTCTGCTTGTCATCCACAGTGTAAACTAACAGACCACAGTCATCTACAGCTTCACCTCCCTCCTTCATTGTGACTTTTTTCTTTTGGAGCAGAACAAAACCGTGGAAGCACAAGCTCCCCTAAAAGAAAACCATTTTGTATATTCCACAGACTTCACCATGGCACTTCATTGAAAACAGGAGCTGAATGAATGGTTTGCTGCACTGCATACATCTGTACATCTTCACTTTTTTATCTGTGCTCAAAACTGCAGTGCTGCTTTTGTCTCCTTCTCTTTTTAGTCAGCATAGTGCATGATGGACTCCACATAGTTTCCTGGGAAGAGTCCAGTGACGCCGTTGCAGACCCCTTCGAACCAGCCGTCATCGTTCTTCTTGATTATGTAGATGATGGCTCCCTCCATGAAGGACAGCTCATCCTCCTTGTCCTTGCTGTAGTCATAGATGGCCACAACTGGAAAGAGGCACAAAAATAACAGTTTAAGTGAAAATAATTTTTGCTCATGAGTGAAGAACAAAAGAATTAATAAAAACCGTGTCCCTGTGTCACTTTTTTTCACTGGCACTAACCTTTCTCTAAATAAGCCTTGGGGGCCCATTGGGGGTCTCCGTCAGCGTAGGGGTCACTGTAGTGAACCACTGATGCATCTTCTTCTTCATAGTCCACAGGTGGTGGAGGAGGAGGAGGAGAGGGTTCCTCAAACACTCCTAAGTCCTCGGGTGGAGGAGGGGGAGGTGGGGCAGGGCTGTCTGTTACTGAAAGGCAGAAAAAGAGTTTGTGAGAAGAAATTAAAAAAGCACAAGAGAAAAAACATCGATCTAAACAGGTGCAGCGGGGAATTCAAAAATCTATATTCTGCAGCAGCATTTTAATAACTTTTTCACCATTTCAAAATTCAATACTTTTTCCAAAGATCATTTTCTGTTATAAAGCATGTAAAATATTCAAGATTATAATGTGTACAATAGAAGTTCATCTTGTTTACCAATAATGAACCTTGTTATAATGATGAATGCTTCACGTGCTTCAGTTTTACATCGAATGTCCTTTAGGTGCAGTAATGCAACTGTACAGTAGAGGGCCTCGTTTCATTTTTAGTTAGGCAGTTTTCAAAATGCTCTCACACACATTAAGATCATGAGTCATAGTCGCTCAACACCCAATATTTATTTAATTAATGAATTTAATTTTCTATACATTCAAACATAGACTAAATTCAATTTCAATTATGATAGGAGGTAGCACTATAGGAACTTTGACAGAGGAATATTATTATATTCAATTAGTTCAATTAACCTAAGATACTGTTATTAGCTGACAAAATATGAGATGTGTTTTTTACATATGTTGAATGCAAAGTTTTGTCACGCAGGTTAATAAAGCCCCAAATGACCTGTGTACGCCAGTTTAGTGCGATCTAAAGGGTTCAGCAGAAAGGACACATTCTTTCTCTCTGTTGTTGACACAAACGTGATGTGGTTAAATGGGTGGATTGGTTTGTACAGAATATGTGGTTTTAAAAGCTTAACTCGGCTCTGACCTGCTCCCACTGGTCCTTCAGGCTTTGTGCTTGTGATACGAGTGTCCCCTAGGAGCAAGTCTCCCTGCAGCATCAACTTCAGCAGTTAAAGAAAAACTGCACATTTTTATCTCTCTAATTTACTAGTCTGCTGTTGCAATTAAGAGCTAGTGATAAGGCAGCAGAGGACTGAATTTAATGCATCACTTTGTTTCCAATGTGCTTGCATTCCTGTTAATCCACTGGTCTAACAATGACTTTAGATCTGATTCAGCATTAACAGCTTAAAAAACCTAACCTGATAACTCATCTTGGATTGCATTGGTGTTTTCCATTTTCCTTTAAAAGGTCTGTGTAAACACATCTTGTGTTATATTAAGTCAGAGTCAAATAATCGAGTTCCCAGGGATCATATCTGACTGAATTCTCTGTGTGATGGCAGTAAATTACAATTCAGGCAGAAGAAAATCTCTATTAAAAAACATTAAAATGGTTATTCCACAATTAAGGTCATCTCAGTCAGGGTAGACATTGCTGTTCACATTAAACTGCCAGTTCCTCAGTGAAGACAGTCAAGACTTCACAGACAGAGTGAGGTGTTAAAGCTTTAATAAAAACTATAAACGATTCCAGTTCTTAATATAAAAGTGTGTTTAAGAGACTATTTAAGGCCTGATAAAGGGCTATATTTGGTCATATAATTACAATAAGATATTCAAATACTCTGTCTCTTATGTGACTGTAAGATTCGTGTTCAGTAAAGTGCTTTGGTTCAGTGTGATGTCAGAATTCCTCACGTTTGAGCAGATAGGTACAAACAGTCCCACATCTCCGCACAGCTGCATCTCTGCAGACAGGCGGCTGGAGAATCAGGACACAGCATCAGGTCACATTTTCTCTCTTCAGCGGACAGAGAGAACAGGTCGCACGCTTTCAGTGACCCATTCATCACCATGGCGACAGACAGACAGACGTCCGAGGGGCGAGTGCTCTCCCTCAGCCCCACATAGAGTGCAGAAGAAGGTGCACTGAGTGTAGCAAGCTACGGAGCAGGGTGTAAATGTGAGGTAGTTTGTGGATGCAGACACCATTTCAGAATAATTGAAAGAGATGTGATGAAAGCTATTTTCATATCTGTGTATTTACATATTTCTAGAATATTAGCAATGTGCCATATGTCAGTGGAAGTATTTAACAGACTTCTATAAAGATGGACGATATGATGGCTCCAAAAAAGTGAAGCCAAAGTAACTCAATCGCCCTCTAGTGGCTGGCTGCAGGGTTGGTTATGAACCCTGCGTCCACCATATTAGTGGATGGAATATGGATCATCTAAACAATTAAAGGTCCAGTGTGTAAGATTTAGTCCATGTTTATATTGAGTTTATGGTATTTCCTTTGCTGTTATAGCTACTGTATCAGAAATTAAAACTACTGAGGTGCTGGTTGGTTGAAGGTTTGGTTAAATCTCACTGGATGTTGTTGCTTTATAAAACATTCAGTTTTTGTCCAGCGCTATCTGCTGTCTACATGTGTGTTTAGTGCAAATGTGTGGGAGTGAATGTGTCTACGAGTGAGTGGATGTGAGGAGTTTTGTAGTGTCATCTTTGTAAGTGTATGATTTCATAGTTTGATATTGAGTGAATTTGCACCTGTGTGTGTATAATGTATATTTGTGCATTTAACTGCATATAGAGTGGGGCCCACTGTGTGTCTTCATTAATAAGTGTATGTGCATGTCTATGTATGTGTCGAGTACTTACTGCTTTCCTGCATTCTGGCTACAAAGCCGGTCAGTGGGATCTGTGGGGTCAGCTGGACCATGGGAGGAGGAGGCGGAGGAGCCACAGACACTGGAGCAGCAACACCCAGAGAAGCCGGACGAGCGGCAGTGAGACAGAGAGCGATGGAGGTGGTGGACAGAGATAGAGTGACAGTACAAGAAAAGAACAAACGACATCATGGATTGGATAAAGCAGAGTGGAGAATGATGAGGAAAGAATAAGACAAAAAGCTTGTGAGCAAGTGAAACAGTGGAGCAAGCGTCACTGTCAGAGTTCTTTTGTGCTGCGTTTTCCAAGCTGGGCTACAGAGGCTTTTATCTCAGTCTGAGAATCTACCAAGTCAGCGTCTGTTTTAAGTCCAAAGCAAGGCCTGTGGGCAGTGTTAGCTCTCAGTGGAAGTGGTGCGATGTGCTATAGTGACAAGTGAGAGTGCAGTAGCAGACATTTGTTCACACAAAAGCATTGACATGTAGCTGCAGCATCTGGATCCGACCCAGTTCAGAATTTCATTAAATGATCATTAGAGTGGTGTGCGTCGATCAAGAGCAACGCTTACTAAATGAACTTGTACCTGTATAATCTCTCTCTTTGGCCTCTATAAAGAAGCTCTTTGTTTGGCTGTCTTTAGAAAGGAGATAAATGGATGGACACAAAGAGAAACACTCAAAGACATGATGTCACACACACACACACACACACACAGGCCAGGTCTGACTCATAAATCACATGTAATGGAGGGGCGTCTGTAATCTCCCTGGCCAGTAATGTCTTACTATTCCACCCTGCTCTCACACATCCATCCACAGCTACACCCTGAGGGATCAATGAGCTCCCTCTTGTACCAGAACAAGGCTTTCTATTGTGAATCTTCTATTACAGCTGTCTGAAATCCAAACCTGTCTTTACTTTAATTAAATTTCAATGGCAGAGATGATGTGATGTCCCAGTTTAGGTCTCTGGTTGATACAGACTCTGCATCATAGTCTCTCTCCTCCCAGGAAAGACAGGCAGCCTCCTCCTACTGCTCCTGCATTTTTGTGCCAAGGAAGATGCTCGTCCTTTGAGACAGGATCCATCTGAGGAGAATGGCCCGGAGCGATGTCTGCCAAAATAAATTCTACTCCTCCGAAAGAAAATATGCATAGTTCCCTGGTTCCCCCTTGTCAATCATCTCATGAGGTTTTTTTTGCCCTGAAATGCCTCCTTACTGTCTCTCCTTAACAAGAGACTGTCTTCAGCTGACTTAAGTGATAATGTCACAACTCAATTAGAAATGGTAATGAAACACTCTGCTTCAGTAATTACGGTACATAATTCATTTTCATTTGCCTGTGCAGGGGCAAGCCCGTGCATATCTCTTAGACCCAGAGGACCGATTTTAGCAGTTGAGCAGCAGCTAGGAGAGACCGAGGCTACATACATAGGTACCACCACGTTTTTGTTTTAAAATGGTGTTTTCAAACTAAAACAATATCTGTTGGCTCCCTATTAGTTTTAATACCCGTCCATGCTAAAAAGCCTGAAAACTTTGTCCCAATAAATAACAGCTTATCTCCTACACATTGCCATTGTAAAATGCAGAATTTAACTGCACAACAGCAGTTAGCAAAGACAACAGGGTAAGCAACATTTTGTGATTGATTATCAATGTTGTTTTCTCCACAAGTAGTCAAGCCTAATGCTGGTTGTTTTCTACCAGATGGTGGACGTTCTGATAGGAACCTGAAGAATCTAAAACTAAAACGGGACCAGCAGCGTTTTCCAAACTTCTCAGTCTTAGCAGCTCTAAATCTCTGGAGTAGTGTGGACGCCAGGAGTATCTGTGCCAGTGTTGATGTGTTTTCAAATAAAACATAGTGGTATCAATGTAGCCTGAATTCTACTTGTTTAGTTATTACATGTCATGTCATTTGTCGGACACTTTTATCCAAAACGACTAACAATTAGTGCATTCAACATCTGTGATTATATTAAGATAAGGCTGCTCTGGATATTTTAAATGAAAGTTGGAATTAAATTTAAGATCAAACTCCCTCGTTGTTACTTGTTGTTACCAAAAACCTTATTTGCACACTGCATCACACCAACCATTTAATAAACCACACAGTACATAACAAAGGTTATAAACATATAAAGACATTAAATTTGAGTTACTTGAGTTCTGTGTGTAAGCAGGGCCCCCGTTGATGTGAGGCTGCTGGGAGGAGACGGAGGGTGCGCGGCGGTAGGTGCCAGTGGCCGACACCATGGAGGCTGAGGAGGTGGTGGAGGAGTTGTGACGGGAGATCTGGCGGGAGATGGTGCCGAACTGGGACATGGGGATGGGACCCAAGCCGGGGCCCTGGGGTACTGAGGCTGAGGACGTCACCACTGCAGGAGATGGGGAGGAGATACGTTATTACTCACTGTTAATAAAAGAATGCTGCCAATTTCTGGCACCATCTCAAGTAGGAACAACAACTTAGAAAGTCTGCGAAAATTCCAATTAACATAATAATACAATCAGCTCTGATCTGAGCCTTTAATTGAACTTGAAATGTTTAAAACTATATGTCTGTCACACCTGATGCTTTTTCTTTGCTCTTTTGTTATGATGCAAATATTGGAAAGAGGTGTTGTGGTGTTGTCTAAACGATCAATAAAACACATTTTGTTTACAGCATCCATGTTTTTTCCACCTTCTGGGGAGCAGGTGAACACAGAGAGACATAGAGAAGAGCCTTCACATCAGTTAGTTTATACTGTGGACACTAGTGCAGTGAAATTACAGATGCTGAGGCTCACCTTGCCCCAAACTGGGAGGGGAGGGGGTGGGAACTGCCAGAGGGAGACTGACTGCACTGCCTCCACTGTTCTCCCTGCCGCCACTGCCCCCACTGCTGCCACTGCAGAGAGAGAGCGAGAGAGCGAGAGAGAGAGAGAGAGAGAGAGAGAGAGAGAGAGAGAGAGAGACTTTAATGGTGATCATGTGTGAGATGAACTGACATCCCATCATTATTCCCTCTTATGTCATTCTGTCATAACAATATTACAGTCACTGTGGCAACAGAGTATTTGTAGACATGCTTTATTGTGTTTTTGGGAAAATTCACACAGATTCTAAATTTAACAAAGAATTAACAGTGACATCCCATTTGCAAAAAAGGTAAACTGTGTTTTAATTGTCGATAATAGTTCCAATTTCAGAAACACCAGCGACTATGGATGGGGTCATCCACAAAAATTATGGTTCGATCCCCAGTTCCACCTGCATGTCAAAGCAGGCTTGAGCAAGATATTTAACTCCAAATAGCTCCTGTCAGTCAGGCCAGCACCTTGTATGGCAGCTTAAGAGAGATAATGTGTCTGAATTCAGAGACACATCCTTCTGAGGCTGTATTTGAAGACCAATTGCATCACAGCCGCATGACTAGACTGTCCCTTTTCCCCCTTTTGAAGGCTCCTTCAAATGCAGCCTACATTCTTGCTCAACAAAGTATCCAACAGGTGGATTCTTCGTTGGCCAACCTATCCCATGATTTATTGCACGCTAGTCACAAAGCTATTGAGTTAGTTATTAGGATGGCTGAAGTGCAGTAAGTAGCTATCGATGCAAACGGTCAGAGCAGGACAAGCTGGTGACGCAAATAGAAAATCCTCTGTAGACAAGACCGTTACACTTCAGCTCTGCCTGTACACAGACTATACAGGCCATGCCTTCATAGTCCAAATTGATGAAGTCCTCTGAAGCATAATACATTACTGAACGTATTTAGCTGAGTTCATATAGAGGAGGTGGTCTATGCTACCTGTGTGTCCTGGGCCTCTGATTGAGTGAGGCTGTGCGTGCAGGGCTGTGCTGGCTGCCCAGTCGTGCTGGGCTCGTCATGTAGTCATTAGGCACCACCGGGGGCTTCACTGGCTCCAGTGTCTTATAGGGAGTGTTACGCCTGCACAGAGATAAAGAATTCAATGGTTTTATGAAGTTAGAGAAACTATAAAATAATTTGTTGAGCCTTTATATACTCTATGGATCACATCATGCGTATGGAGCCATAGTCTGGTGATCCATGGTGTTGTAGATAACCATTGTGATGATTTCACCAATTTTAACAAATTAAATGCATTTAAAAAACTACCACAACTGCAAACACAAGTTCTTACCCCAGGGTACCACGACCAGCCATGGGAGGACTTGGGGGCTTCTGTGTCGGGGGGTTGGTCCTAGCGAGTGTCCCTCCTCGCCCTGCTGCATTGTTCCCATGTTGCTAGAGGATCAAAGATGAATTAAAATACTGCTTTTGTGTAATCGGAATAGCTGACGTCATTGTTCCCAATGCTAATACACACTAGTGCTGAAGAGTCAAAGCAACACAGGTTAATTTCATATGAGTATCACACCTTTACTTTTATCAAGGCATAATGTTTTGAAGAAAAACTGCCAGAAAGAGATGGAATAGGAAATGAAGAGATGGAAGGAGAAGGACAGAAAGCACCCCTAAATATGTGACTGAGAAACAAGTAAAATGGGATGTCACTCACTGGTTATGGGTGTATGGATGAAGAGATACAGGACATGGGAATACATGTTGAAGAATAAATAGTGCAAATATGAAATATAAAGTTGATTATCTCCCATTATCAGTTTTGTTTAATTTACTACAGCATACCTAACACATTAAATTCAACCTATCATGGTCCACACATGTCTATACTTGGCGTATTCATGACAACTGGTCACCTTATGAATAGTTATGAACAGGAGATCAAAATGATTCTGTTTTACTGCACAGGGATAAATCAGCTCATATATGGACTCATATTTGTTCCATGAAATCTAAATTGCATGTCATTAAACTTTTAAAATCTTGGATATGTTTTGCAACTGAAAGACAACCGTCATGAGTGCATGGATACCTTGATATTTTTAAATGACATCAATATGTGATAAAAACAAGAGAATGACAACAATTTCTTACCTTGGCTTTAAGCCACTGAGTGCAAGCAGGCAGAGAGAGAAGACAGAAAACATGCTCATTGGTTAATGGTTAAAAAAGTGAGTTGTATTATCATTGCAGTGAGAGCAAGCATGAAAGTTAAGCATCTTGTTTGAACTACTCTACGTCAATTAACCTTTATGTACAGTTTGTAGAGTGGAAAGAGTGTCTTGAGGAAAAGAGTAAACGAGCTGTATAGGACATCAAGGAGACTAATAAAGAAATATATCAGTGGAAAATGATCGGGAAAAAAAACAAATTCTAAATAAATATTACAGCTCATAACCATAACCATAACCTTCTGTGGTATTTCACAACATTCACATATTTTATCACATTAAGACCAACAATTTTCACTATCAAAAAAAAATACCAAAAAGAAATGTGTGAGGCCATTATTGTAGTAAAACTATTCACAAATGTGAGTCTCAATCCGTCCACGTGTAATCAGATTGTAAAGAATGTAAAAGAATCTCCGTAATATGAGATTTGTAAATGTATAAATGGACGTACATGCATATATTTACTTACACATGTACAAATCCAATAAAACACACACGGATTGTGAATACTTATTTGAAGATTCTATTTTAGACACTTTAAAATCTGTTTACACACACACACACACACATTCTAAATTCAAACTTGCAGATCCATGAACACATTCACAAATCTCAATACCCATTTGGAGATTCTTTTACACATTCATAAATCTGATTACACACAGACGGATTGAGACACATTCATCAATAGTTTTGCTACAATAGTGGCCCCATACAAATGCTCATTATTACTTTTCCAGGTCATGTGACATACTCAAATTGTTTGATTTATCTGAAACAAAGAGATTTCAGAGTTCAATTGTATAAAACATAGCAATGCGGCAAATTGTTCAGTCTTTAAAAACGTTTTTTTGTTGTTTAATTGTTTCAGTACGAATCACATTCTCAACTTTATTTGGCAGATTATCTGTTACAGTAAACCTTGTTCATATCGACACAAAAAGTCGTTTTTCAGTGACTCAGTTTAGCACCTATCTGACAGAAATGAATCCTACAGCAGCTTTACTTTGTAAACGCATGTCTTATAAAAGGAGAAAACAGGTGAAACAAACACTGTACTATAGATTGAAACTACTACCCTGTCTGTGTGTGCATGAGTGAATTCTGTGTTCATCAGTGTCTCGACGTGTGTTACAGACTGTAATCAGAGTGAGAATTACTTCAATCCTCTGACACACTGTAAATAATTGAGCATTGGCCTGACTTGACGTGGTTGTGCTGACATTGTAAGTGTTGCTCTGAGAAACGGTGAGGTCATAAATAACAGGAGTGAGGTGCTCAGACTGTCGGAGTGGCTAAAACTATGTCACCCTGGTAACTGCCACTAATGCCAATAAAGCCTATTATGGTGAAAGGTTGAGCACAGTCATCCGTAAATGTGTGAATGGGTCTTTTCCATGCTCTAGTCTGACTTCCCATCTACCTATGGGTGAGTACCCCTGATCATGTGGATGTGGAGGCAGAGGGGTGGTGATGATCCACCAAGGCAGGGGGAAATAGGCTGAAAGGTTGGAGTGCTAATAAGCTGCTGTTTTAGACACAGCAAGAATATAAATTGGACTTGAAAACAAATACACAAACAGAACCAAAAGAATACATCCATGTACTACTCTTGCATTGTCTAACTTCGTGGGCCGTAACAACGTTATGGACCTTAGCATGAGCATGCAGTAGTGAGAGCAAGCATGCTGCAAATAGCGCTGCACACAGCTATACAATGCAGCAACTGAGCAAAACACCAAGTTCGAGATGTCTTATGTTACAATAAGAGTCAAATATTTATTGGTTTATTATGAACATGGTATTAATTTGAATATGGCAGACCGCCACTCAAGATAATTGATGGGAAACATTGCACATGTAAGGCCACAGAGACAAATCAGAGATTTTAAAACAAACCAATAGCCATGATGATGAAGATATAAACCTGATTAAAAACAACAAACTTAATAAAGGTGCTCGCCAAATCTAGAAATCCCCCGAAACAGCAATTTTACAGATTTCAAGCTTGTGTTTTGCACATGTTCTGGCATCTACATGGATCTGCACTGATTTCTGCAGTGATCTATAATTTGCAACCTCCATGAATGATGCTTTATTTGCATAGTGGGCCGTGACAAATGTTTCTCAGTGAGCCAGCTCTCACAGGAGGAAACACAAGCTTCTGAATTTGAATTAGCGGATGTTTGAAAATCAGACGACAGCCACTATCTCAACAGACAGACGGGGAGAGGGATGAAGAGGCCATCTCAAACGCTCAGCAGAAATTTATGACACAAACAATCAATGTACACTCGTCTAACGCACACAAACACAGAATGCAGTGTAAAAGAGGAAAAGAAGAGGGGGGAGGAGAGAACGGATGGATCATGCGGAGAGAGAATAAAAAATTGAAGAATGAGCCGGAAAAAAGGATGAAGGAATATTTTCCCACAATTCAATAGGGAGTGTGATGGTATGAGTAACACTTGGCTAACATGTTTCTTTCTTGCTCACACTCTGGATTTGACACAGACACACACGCACACCAAACACACACACACACTAATGACTTCCAGCTTTGGCAGTTGTTGCTTGGCATGAACAAACAAGGACAAACAAAGCTTTGAGCCACGGTCTGCTACCAACGTATTCAAGGGTTTGTTTCATTTATATGGGTCTCTACACATAATGAACAAAAAGGTCAGTGTATTGATCGACCTGCAGTGTGTAAGTGAGTCATGAAAGCAGACAATCAGCTTGTTCACATGAAGGTGTGAACTTCACTAAGTACGCGTTTCCTGTCAAATCAACGCTGCAAATCAAGAAAATATACCACAGTAACGAGTCTGGGATTCACAGTTGTAGCAACAGTCCAGCTTTGGAGGAGTTAGAAGAGTGTCAAATTGCTTTTTAAAAAGCAGCAGCTAAAAAAAAACACATATAAGGATGCTACAGCAATATAGGTAAACAACTTTATTGTCATTAAATGAACTTTAAGTCTGCTCTGACAATAGAGCACCAAGGTGCAAACAAAGCAGGGATTTTTTGGGCTTTTAATTTGAAAAAACAATCAGGGAGATCTTACTTTGACGCCGTGACCCACATCATCCAGCAGTGTGTAGTCGATGGGCTTTCGGATGTAGCGCACCGGTCGCTCCATGTTGCCCGGGGCAATGATCTTGTGGGTGCGAGAGGTGTTTTTATTGGTGGTCAGGATGCCGATCTCCCGGCGTGCTACCTTCTCTTTATGAATGTCCACTGTCTGCAAGAGAGGGAAGAGAAGATGGCAATGACTGGTGGGATATTACAGATATTTTAGAGTTTAGTTTGCCTCTGGTAAATTCTCTAAAATAAACACCTTAATTTCAGACAGGTAATTACAAGAGACATGGCATGATTCTATAGTCATGCAATTTATAATTCACCCCTTTCAGCACCATATAGTGTGATATTAATCAGCCAAAAATAACAAAGATAATAATGATGAATTTATATGTAAAAGACAATTGTTTTTGAATATCCTCCAGCTGAATCCTCCATGAAATTGAAATCCCAAATCCTCCCACTGCTTGCACATACACTCAAAATCTGGGTCCATCCTATTGAGCTCCTACTGACCCACAATTCTGCTCTACTGGCCTAAACCCTGGGGCTGTTTACACAAAGCTCTCCTTTAACACCCCACTCGAGGGCCAATTGAAGACTCCAGTGACCTCCATGTCCTCCGCAATTTGAGTCATCATCACTCAAGTGCCTGCATGGACTGGCCTTCAATTTATGAATGATGGATGAAGTGGAAGGAGTGAGAGATGCAGCGAGTAGCCTACTAAATGAAAAAAAACACGAGGGAAGATGGAAGATGGAGGGCTTCATCTGTGGAGTATGAGGTCAAACTTGGGAGGAGAGTGCTGATGAGTTTAAGAGTATATATATACACTGTAAAAGACACATTGCTGAGTGATTGTGTATGTGTGATGGCATTTTTTGTAAGTAAACCCACACAGCAACGAGGTGAGACATCAATAACCGCTCAGACATGTCATCCAGCCGACCTGACAGTTGCACTGCTGCAACTGCCTCTCTCTGGGTGAGATGTAAAAGCCGAAGAGATTGAAAGTCTGAGAGCTGCTTGGACGTTGACCCACAACCGCCAGTCCCTCCAGCTGTGCAAAAACTTCAGACAAAAAAACAGACAAAAATTTGTCTGTGTCTCTGTGTCAGAGTCTGTGGCAACGTAGAGAACATGCTCTTTTTTTAGGAGAGGAAACTGAAACGACACGCCCTGCTTCAGCCTGGAAGTAAGAAAAAAGACCTGCCTACTTCCTGTCAGTGACAGGCAGGTATAGAGGCGGAGTGCAGATTACAGAAAGTGATGAAAACTCAAAGGGACAGAGACACAGACAGAGAAACAGAAGAGATAGAGACAGAACAAATGTAAGAGTAGAAACTTCAGAAGGAAATAAAAAAGAAAGGAAGGTGGTGATGGGATAGACGCTGTAAAAGATTTACTTTATGATCACCAGATTTAGGCCTACACCATTTAAACTGTCATGTTTTTTTACTGTCTTCCAAACTGGACATACTAGAATCTTTGGAGTTTTCATGACAGCTGAAGTTCACCACAGGTTCTCTTTCATGTTGGGAAGGGGAGGGTGAGATGACAAGTATTCAGCTGCAACATGTAACTTCACTTCGAGATGTCACTAAATTCTACACACTGAACCTTTAACTCTGACTGTCCTTCCTTCCTTTATTCTATCAATTGGCTGTTCAACCTCTGGCCTGACTTTCTGAGAACAGATCCAGCTGTAATGCTCAATGTCGCATCCATACTTATGCTTTAGCATAAAATCAGAGTTTAGGAAAAATCATTCTTCACCGCACCCAGTGGAGCAAGCTGGTGATATGTTTGCTGTTGCTGTTATTGTTAGGAGGAAAATAATGACGTAGACTGAACTGAGATGTGTCAACAGACGCATGATTTCATACACCATGATCTCATGAAAGGCTTGGCAAACAAATAATCTGGAGTTATGGATGAAGCCTCACAGCTGTTTGGATCTGTGTCATTATCCTTTTTTAATTTACACTAATGACATTCTAGCTACTTTTGATCAATTGAAACTGAGCTGACAGAGGCAGAAGTGGGTCACTGAGCTGATGAATGACAATTTTGAAGAAAGACGAATCAGAAAGTAAACTGGCAGAGGGGAATGCAGGAAATGGACAAGAGGAGTAAAGAGACTCATGGGAAGGTCCTCTATGTTTTCCATGGGAATAGAATCGAATAAAAGTAGTTCCTATTTGTTAACTGTCATGTTGGTTTTAGGCTCAGACACAATAACTGAATGCAAACCATTATATTTGGTTGATACACACAAAGAGGAGAAATAGACCGCTTCAGCTCAGCTTTGATAAACACGCTGTTGTTTTTTATTCAGGTATAGCAGCCCGTCTTGTGACAGCCCTCTGCTGTGGGCTCTCAATAACTACAGATAGGGGACTTGGGTTTGGCAGCAATGTTTATCTACCTTCCTCTTTTGCCCACGTAGCTCTCTCAAGGCAAAACAATTTGCACAAACTAAGCCAGTAAATAAACCTTGGAACAACCAAGCAAATTCTAATTTAATTTCTTGGCCACATCATGACTGGAATATTGAATATTTCCCCTGCAGAGGTGTATGAGATGAATATAAATAAAATCATTTTTTCTCTAGAATCAATCAATTCAAGGCAATTCCAATACATCTGTGCCCTGAGATTTCTTCATATACTGTATATCATTCTTTTGCATTTTCAAGTACCTACATCAATTGGTTGGTAAGTAACCTGTACTGGGTCATGTTACATTATTATAATCACAACACCAAAAGACGATTCAGTCCCTTTTACTGTCACAGTTAGAACAATAATTATTATCATTTTGAATCTCCTTTCACAAAACATGATGGGTCTAATTCTCCTCTTTTCATATTCTCACCTTATCAGCTTTTCTATAAACACATTGTTCTACTCTAATGCAGCTCTATCATTTCTCTGCGGAAATAAGGTGTTAATTACATATTCATTGATTCTATTACACAGTACACAAAGTGAATTGGTGATGCATTTTTACTGCATAAGTAAACTGATTTTTTTTCATGCAATAATTAACTTTGATGGTGGCTTCATTCATTGTGCATATGGGCTTCAGTGGAAGGAAGCCATTGTTAATAATTTTAGTTACACCTCTGCTTTCTTGCTATGTCAATTCAAAAAAGTTGTTGTCAGATGGTATTATCTTGCTTGTTACTTAGAGACAAATGATCTCAGTCTCACCCACAAATAAGTGACTGACTAAACAGTTTCTTCACCAGTTTACTGTCAAGTGTTCACATCAATGTAAGAGAGTCTTAAGTGCTATTATATTTGTGTCAGGCAGACACATAAAGCACCACTGACCATCTCTTATCCATAAAAGACGTTCATTGTTCATCATTACTGCAACTAACTCTGCTTCATCCGGCAGCCTGTGGGGTAGAGTGGGAGCTGGATACGACAACCAAGCCAGGGTGCTGGCGTCAGGGTTTCACTTCATTGCTGACAGGCTTAATGAAGCACACAGGGAGAGGACGGGGACATTCACTGGCTGACAGGCACAGAGAGAGGCTTCATGTGTTAGACAGAGAGAGAGGACTGCTGATGAAGCAAGACTGCAGGACTGAAGAGGGGCTATGGGGGTCTGGCAGCTCCAGTATGATCCATGCCCCCTGCCGTATCTGTCTGTCTGTATAATGTGTGAATGTGTTATTGTGCACTTTGGCGTTATGGAACAAAATAATATTTTGTTGTTGTCAAATAAATAATGTGTGGTGTCTGATTGTGGCAGCACACAGATTCAGGTGTGTCTGTTTTCCCTCAAAATACACATATTGTAGCCGAGCAATCATGAGGAAGATGATGTGTTTATTCATATATGCAAAAAAAATAAAATAGCTTGAGAGCTATATGTGTTAGGGCTGCGCGGTATTAGGAAAACATGCGATAACGTTGTTGAATATTGCAATGACGATATGACTTGCCATAAATAAACAAATGCTATAAGTATATGAGTGTATATGATGCTTTCCTGCTTCGGGTTCGCTGCTAACACAGATCCTAAGCAGTGAGTGGTCTTTGCAACTAAAAATGAAAAGCATTACTTCCATTCCAACAGCATGGTTTTATTGAAAATATTCCCAATGGCTACGGACACAAGGACCACAGACAGCTCCACACCCCGAGGGGGAGGGGGCTCTCAATTGTCTATGCAGAGATATCCCTGGACAGGCCCATCAATGATCTGAATATCTTTAATGTATTATCTAGGGCAGTAGTGCTCCATCTGATTGGCGGATTGCAGAGTGCGTGAATGCATGGCACATGGAACACCATTTATCGCAGGCAAGGTCTTTTGCGATACGTATATCGCACATGTTGATATTGCATACATATTACATAAACACATGCAGATGCTGCAGAAATTGACCCCCACCCCCCGAAAAAAAACACAGATTGTAGAAGTAATATTATCAATATTGTGATGTTGATTAGAAGGGAAATCTCATCAACAGTTCAGGTAAAATCTACTATAAGTCAGGGAGAACTGTGGTGCTTTAAATGTTTCTGCATAACGTTAGATGCTCCAGCAGCTCAGTGATGTGTGATCTGAGCTGATTCATTAAAACCCCTTTTTTCTCTCTCCTGCGATGATGCAGTGGTCATCCTGCTCACACAGAGCCTCTCATCTCCACAGGACGCTCTATCAGAGCTTCATTTACAGAGCTGTAATAACCTATTATCAAGAGTGGATTTCTTTGAATAAACACATAAGCTGATCCTCTGGGAAACAGCATATTCAAGTAATTAAAAGCACACTGTTGAGTATATCATGAAGCATATGCTGAGAGGTTTAAGAGGATTATTGCCTAAGATTGTTTACAATTAAACACATTTATTCCAAGACATGTACTTTGTGTGTGTGACACAAATGTATTTGCATCATTAATCCGTACTAGACTGGGCTTCTTTTCACAAAGTCATTTTCAGATTAAAAGGATTTTAGTCCATGGAGTTACAATGGAACCAAGATCGTCTCACCCTTAAGATGCTTTAAGAAAATAGGGCATTGGTCTGCAACCAACCACACGTTGAATGGCTACCTCCATACTGCTACACACTACTCTGAAGTTTTAGAGCTGCTAAAATGGAGAAGTTTGGAAAAGGTGCTGGCCCCGTTTTTACTTTGAAAAGTCTGGGGCTACGTTTTAGTCTATATGAACATGTGGCATGGAGAGTATGACACAACACTGTTTTTGTACTGATTGAATTAAAACTATGTTAAAGACAATAAGTCAAAATCCAGTGGGTTTTGAACACACAGCATCAACAGCTAATTTAAAGTGGACAGATCAGAAAGACAAACATATAATGCACTTAGAAACAGGAAGGACAGTGTTTAATATTACTCTGTTTTAAATAGATGCCTGACCAACACAGCAGTTGAGAAAAATAAAGGACCCCATTATTACTTGAGAATCATTTGTTAATAATTATAATGCAAGATTCTAGATACAAATTGTTAAATAGTTGTAAATACAGTTTAGTTTGGAGGAAAACATACAACTGATCTGTTGATTGTTAGTTCCAGCTACATAATGTGAACAAGGTGAACTTAAAACATTTTTTATATTTTGTAAAGTACTTTGTATCTTGGTGCATATGTTTATTCTGGGGCCGTGGTGTTTGTACCTGGGAGATGTGGTTGATGGAGGACTCCATGCGTCGCAGTTGCGAGGCCTGGATGTCCAGCAGCTGCAGCACATTGTTAGCTAAGGCATTGATCTGGTAGGCCACACTGGCCAGAGACTGGGTGGTGTAGGCCTTGGTCTCCTCCAGGGCCTTCTTCTTGTCTTGGGCCTGGCAAAGACACAAAGGAAGAGAAATTAGAGGTAAACAAAAGAAAGATGTGTGGGTGGAAGAAATTGAGAGGCTGGTAGAGGGAAGTCCATTTGCCAAAAAATATAAAGAGAAAATACTGCACTCTTCTTTTTACTATCCTATCAGTTGAAATGAATGGAGACTGACTGGGCAGTTTTTTTAGCAGGGGCATCCACTCACAGCTGTTAAAAGGACGATGATCTATAATATCTGAATGGATGTGAAACGGAGTTTATGACTGTGTGGGGGGGACCACAACGGAATGCAAAGCAGCCTGGAATCTGACAACAACAACTTCCGAATAACTTAGATGAACAACATGAGACAGGTGCAGGGTGGGAGTTGTGCCCAGTGAGCAGGAATGCCAAGACATTGCACAATTATGTTCCTGGATGCATTTAAATAGCAATGGGACTAAATTGACATATTTATTTATAGTTTGCAAACACACTAGGGATGACGGAAGGTGAAATAGAGAACTCCTCCAACAGGGGACACTCAGATGTTCTCTGGAAGTAGAACTGCAAATGTAATTTCCAGTGTAAAATATTGAGCTGATTGATTTTTTCCATCAATAATCAACTCTTCATTTAGTTTATAAAAAATAAAGACACATATGAAATGCTAGGGGGGGAAGCATTTTTAACTATTGTTAATCCTATCATCTGCAAATGTAATTCTATCAGAATAACTTGTAAACCTAACCAACATTTAAAATGTCCCTTGATTAAAAGCCCTCATAGAGTCACAATATGATGTAATACACAAAAGTGTATGTTTATTAAACAATCTGGCCATATAAGTGTTCTACATGCCAGCTGGTTTCTGCCCTTATTTGTGTTTGTGTGGTAACATAAGGCCTGTACCATGACACCTCTTTACTATAAGACCACCTGCTACTTTACAAACCACCTGCAGCAAAAAAACCTATTGCATATGTCTGATTGGACCTGCAGGTCAGCCCTTTACTGTGCACGCCTCCTCCTCAGTTTGTTAAGCATTGAAGCAGCAGAGGAAACATTGCAGGCTTGCTCAGCACGATCCCAGAGATTGAAGACCGAAGCCTGTCCTCATACCTGAGCTTGGAAAACGCTGACTTGTGTATGTTCCCAGTGACATATTCATACTGACAAACTTTGATGAATCAAATGTTAAATATGTTACTCTCATGAGTCCATTACACACCATGGTTATCAATACTGTTGAGGTGCTTACACCATCATACATAATCTTTAACAGTGTAGCACATGCAGTAGAGAAGTGGTGTTAACAGTGAACTGAGGAGAGGTTAAAACTTCAAATAGAACCAAACTAATTAAAATAATCTGAAAATATCTTGTACAGAAAACCCCCTGGATATAATAGCCTACATCTCCCTAATACACAATGCTCATTAAGAATCTCTGCTACTCTATATATTCACTCTCTCTTTGCTGCTTTGAAATATTATGTTTCATACTAATCTTACAAAATACTTTTTATAAGCACTTCCACTCTGAATTCCTTTTTTATATGCACCACACTTAAACTTAACAATGCATAAAAAATACAGCAATTTCATGGTGTCATAGCAAAGTGAACATGAGGTCTGACACTGGAATACCGTGAACCTTATGAGTCATAAATGAAAAGGCAATGAGTCAGAGGGGAAACATGGGGTTTTTGATGGAATAAACAAAAGAAGAAACTATTAAACAGTCATGAGTTTCCATCTAACATAATATTCTTCATGCATATTTTGGAAGAAAGTGACATTTTTGTATCATTTTTAGATCATTTGCTTTCAAATGTTAAGGTGTATTTAAATATAAATAGCCTGTGTCCCCAAAACAGCATGATTTCACTAAACATATAATTCAAAGAGCTGCTATTTTAGTACACAAAGGTCTTAAGAAAAGTATGAACAAAGATAAGTTATGCTTTCATGCTAAAAATGTTGTAAGTGTCAGTTTGTCACTTGTGGTGTGGTTGGTTTCTGTTGGCCCATTTTAAATATCTCAACTAAGAATAGAAGTTAATTTTCCTCCAGCCTCACCAGTGGATTTACATATAAGCATTGTATGTATTGCATGGTGTGTAGTTTTAAAGACAATAGTGTGAATATTCAGCTGCATAGGATTCTGCAGATCTGTCCTACATAAAGACAAAAGGAAATTATTATACATCCATGCTTTGACAACTCAGAGCCAAATGTTCTATGTAGAACTTTGTTCAGAATACAGAAACAAAAATGATGATTGAAAATAAAGCTACGCCTCCTTACTCTATCATTCCCTGTTGTGTCTGTCAAGTGTTTTTATATGCAGGCAGGATCCTGGAAAATGTTTATTATGTCCCTGAAGAAATCATTATTCAGGAGAAGCCACAAGCAAGCATCTTCATATCCCCTGCAGGCATGACTCTACGGCTACAATAAACAGACACTATATACTAAACATTGCAGCAGAATGTGTCACAAATGTACATGTCTCTGAAAATCAGGAGTAAAGGCAGACTCCAAAAAATGATCAGTGCATTTTGATCTTTAGTCACATGTGACTCATACATTTCTTCACGTGTTAGGTTACAGACTGAGGTAATAGGATCCACATGTTGTTGCAGTGAGGATGGGCATCACCTAAAAACCACAGAAGTTGTTTTTCACTAAACTTATTTATTTCTATTGTTAATTTCAAATACACAAAAGTTATCTCCATTTTGCTCATTTCCATCCTCCACACTTATTAATCAACTGGTATGTGAAAAGATACATCCGAGTCAGACATGTGTTGTTAGCTTTCACATACTAATATGAATATTGCAGCATCACAGTCTGAAGATAACTCCAGATCAGTGACTAGCATGCAGAAACCAATATTCTGATATTTATAGTCTGGATAAGACACTGCCATGTAAACAGCATTATTTGATTATGTTAACCTGAATAAAGACATAGTTAGAATAAGCAATAATCAAATTAAGACATTTGAACTATTCTGACCTTAGTCACATTTCGTAAACATGTCTATCGCAGTATAATGTCATTTTGCAACATTGAGAAATGGCACATTATCTGCATCACCTTCTGTCTACACAAATTTTAACAAAGCCTCCAACTAGGTGTTCCTGATATCATTTAAAGTTAACACACTAAATCCAAATGACTGAGATTTAAAACAAACACAATTGAACATTTATAAGTTAATATATCAGTCACCTGGTTACTGGACTAAAGCAGTGCAGCATAACCTCTAACCCACTGCTGCTATTAACAGTTTTATTACCACATTTCTTCCCCAAAAAAAAATCTACTTCAACTAAACTGGAGAGTCAGGGAGATTAAATGAGCACAACCTTTGAGCAGAACATTAAACCTCTCAGGTAGCTTTCTGAATAATGATATTGGCATCAGCTGCAGAATAGAGCTGTGCATGCTTGTCAGTATCCTAATAAATGTGTATTCTAGCAGTGTCACCTACATTGCATTTCTTGTCTTGTCAACCACACTTAAGTAATCTGACCTGTTATTACGGCATAATGGGGATTTTCCTCAGCACCACAGACAAAAAAAACACACGTTGGGTTTCTGGCTTGTCAACAGACGCTGCTCACCACCGGACCATTCTGCCAACTGATGGTCTGCAAATGTCAGCTCACACTGCTGAACACAACATCACCATGGCAGAGCTCAGGGTGGTGAGGTTAAATGAGAGCAACTCTTCAGGCTTGAAATCCCATATCACATAATCACATCTGAAATCCCACAATAATATCGCGGTACTGTAATTTTCAATATTTACTTGCATCCCACTCCTAACCCAGTCTGGATATGCGATAAAAAACAGGCACACCTATTATCACCCTACACAATGCATCTGATTCCAAGAAAAGAATCGATGAACATGCTCATGTTTGACCTGATGTGTGCATCAGGAGTAGCTATATATTCTTTTTCTTTAAAAACGTGGCCTACATTTCATTATCACTGATAAGCAACCTGACATATGATAGATGTTAGTAGCTTTGTGTTAATGGCTAATGATAGAGAATATTAAATGTCTTAATAAGTATGTGTATTTACTATACAGCAGAGTTTAAGTGACTTTATAGTGACTACGCTGTTTTTATTTGATTGTTTTGGTATAATCACAATCCATTCATATATTACCATGTACAGTTTTGCTAGCTTGCTAGTTGCACACGAGTGAAATGCATTTTAATGGATTGTATTCGCTCTTTCTTCCTTTCATCATACTGCTGTGTGGCCTAAATGTGAGCAGACTGTTTATTTCCAGTCGTAACAGAGGAGAGTTGGTGTAAAGACAGATGTGCATGTGTGCTGTGGTCTGGTTCAGATATCTATCGATCAGAGAATACAGTCAATGACAAACCACTTGGTCATAACAACGACACACCCTCTGAAAGCCCCCAGCAGCAGCGGCAGCAGCCTCCCGAGCTACAGCCTTTCAAATGAGAACACGGCCCCGGTACACCGGGCCCACCGGCCGGACTTCAAGATACCGAAATACAGCCGCTTCTGCCCCGGCACCCGTCAATGAGCCGCCGGGGGAAGAAGGCCACCCCGGGCCGGTAGCGGTTTGAGGTTCCCTTTCGCCACCAGCGCTTCCTGCCGCTGTGGTTTCACTCACTTCCACCGACACGGCGCCGCGGACACGACGGAGAACAGCGACGAATTCCCCGGGTTTAACGGCCGCTCGTCGCCTCTTACCTGGACATAGTTGTTTTCACAGTATTCCGCAACCCGGGACAGGTTCTGGTAGCTCTCCACAAGCGCTCTTTTGCCGGCGGGGATCTCCTCCTCTAATAGCATTTGTAGCTCTGCCATCTTACATCCCTTCGCATCGCTCTCCTCTCTGTCCCTGTGAGCTGAGAGAGCGAGAGAGGGAGGGAGGGAGAGAGAGAGAGAGAGGGAGAGAGAGAGAGAGAGGGAGAGAGAGAGGGAGAGAGAGGGGCTCCCCGCCCGGCGTAGTGGGCCCTCCGATTCACAACCGCCGTGACGAATCGCAGCTACGTTAGAAACGGAGATCGCTGATTGGCTGACAGGCTGACAGAGAACAGTAGTGCACCAATCCCAATTACACCATTATGCCACGTCATATAATGGTAATAGCAATAATATGAGATAAATATATTTTATCAGGATGTAAGCGTAAAATATAAAAAACTATTATTATTATTATTATTATTAGTAGTAGTAGTATTATTAGTAATAGTAGTATTGTTGCCAATATTTGCATTACTTTCATAATACAGATACTGTTGCATTACTGTAACATAATTGTACTGATGTAAATTCCTATTTATATATTCTATTCATCATTTTATATTATATGTAGGTTATAATTACAATGATATAAAGATAAAATAGCAAATGACCATGGAGTATATATTTCATAAGATTATTTTTTTGTCAGTATTTGAAATTAATTAAATTTTTCATATCTTTAACACTTTTTATTTATTTTCCCTTAAAAGCCCACACGCATTCAATAAACGAGATTATAAAAATAAAGGTGCACATGAGGATCTATAAAGGTGAGAATATATAAATCAAATGAACAAAAAGTACTAACATTTGATTACATTTACATAACACATTCATCTTCTTAAAATATAGCATACAATAGCTAATATAAACATGACAGAACATAGATAGTGCAGATAGATATTCCACTACACAACGTGACCCAATAATATAATATATTATAATATAATATTATAATTTTTCCAAGCATTAATAATAAGAAAATAGAAATGATTCATACAGATAGAAAAAAACACAAGAAGAGAAAAATAAAATAAACTATAATTAAATCTTTTCATGCTGAAATCTTTTTTTACATCAGTTAACAAAACACTCTGAAGCATCAGAGACAAGCACGCGTCCCTGTCTCAACCACATTTTGTAATTTGCATACAGCCTCCTCTTTAAATAGACTCAACAAAAAATCTCTGAACACTACATTTCCCATGCACCCTTGCTGTTAAAAGCCCCACCGAGAGGGTTTTGTGGGATTTGTAGGAGGAAGCACAGAGCGTAACCACACCTTATCTTGAGTTTTACGCAACAATAAAACTACATTTCCCAGATGTGCCAATAATCATCCGCAAAGTGTTTGGCTCATCCTTGACCGGACTCAGGGCTGTGCTGCTGCATATTGCAAATAATATTACACCGGCTAATATGAACTTAATGGTGAGTCTCTAATAAATCAACCATAGAGAGAATATTTCTGATAAAAAGCACAGTGTGTTATCACCGGACAGACATGAGCTCGTTTAAAATATCCGTTTTATTCCATATGTCTTAGACCGAAGGAGAAACACTCTTCCTCCATGTAGCAATGACAAGTGGCCCAAGTAGTGTTGAAGTGTCCATCTGTGAATTCTTCATAAATTGCGTTTATATTTCCATGAATGTTGTGAAATTCCCGATGAAGATGTGAGGACTGCTCCATGTCATCCTCCCTGGAGCTCAGCATGGCGCAGGAGGACAGACGCAGCCTGGAGGCGAAATTTGCTGCTGCAGTTAAAGTGATGCGGAGTTTACCCGAAGAAGGTGAGAACTTATTCTGTGAGTGGACATGATGTGCTGCACAGTGTGTAGACTGTGTGTGTAAACACTGCAGGTGACTGACCTACATGCAGGGCGCTTTAAGAGCTGTCAGTGTTGGCTGAGCCTCCATTCATGAAGCTGCCTTAAGAGCTTTATGAATAAAGGAGTAGAGGATGAGAGCTGGTTTAATAACAACTGCTGTAGCTCAGTTCATTGCATTTTCAAGCAGACCTACACATTAAAAATCATAATGATATAAACAATAAAACCAAATTTGATGTAGCATGGTAACAAGAGTAATTTGTATGTGTTAACTTTAATAGTGTATATACATATATTCCCTTGCACTAGTGATCCCTTTTTTATCTATTTACTGTTTTTTTATTGTTGATCTCTTTGGTATGTCTGCACAGAAATAACAAATAAAAATCCTTGATTGCTTAAAACCTTTATAATCCGCTTCCTTCCTTCTTCAGGTCCTTTCCAGCCATCTGACGACATGATGCTGATGTTCTATAGTTATTACAAACAGGCAACCTCGGGGCCTTGCAACATCCCAAGACCTAGTGGCTTCTGGGACACTGGGGGAAAAGCTAAATGGCAAGTTTATTGTATGTTTTTTTAATGCACATGAAAAACCACTGTTGTGGCTAACTGCAGTATAGGATGCAGAAATGAATGGATGTCAAAGTATTCAATCAAGGTCTCACTTTCTTCTTAGTGTTTGAATGTTGAACTATGACTTTGTGTTGCCAGGGATGCATGGAGCGCTTTAGGAAACATGACAAAGGAGGGAGCCATGAAGAATTATGTGGAGGACATCCAGCTGGTAAGTCATTTCTGGGAAAACTAAGCCTGAATAGAAGGAACTCGCATTATAATAAATGCACAGGCATCATAGATTTTTTTGCATGTAAAGAAAAATGTGTGTTTGCAATACCAAAGAACTCTCTTTCTTTCTTCAGTTATACTTTGTGTTTCGTCTATTAAGAAAATGTTGACAAACATAGTAAATATTATATTTGCTAAACATTTGTGTCTAATAGAGATTCAGCATGGAGTTTATATATTGTATAGAGTCGAGAAATGCAATTATCTGAATAATTGAATCTAATTAACTTGTTTTCTTGTTACTTACACCTATTTATACAATAGCATGCGTCATACTCTCATACTCCGTTTTAACCCATTTGCTGTCAAGATTTTGGAGACAATCCCGATCTCAGACGAAGTATCCGACCTGGTTCAGAAACTTGGCAACTTCTACATTGAGATAGATGGAGGAGTGGAAGAAGCTGAAGAAAATGAAGTGGACAGGAGACCCTTCACCAGGCCTTTTGCAAAACACGCAGGTAATGACATATGATCCGAGACACTGGAGGCATGTCAAAGGAGAACAACAACACAATCCAGGAGGGCCACTGCTGCTCGAGATGTGCTTCTGCTTTTCATCTCTCTTTCTCAGTCACAGATTTTTTTTTTTATTGTCCCTGAGCTTGTCTTACATGTCTTTTTGTCACTAGATGAGCTGATCAAACCCTTTAAGAAACCAACCATGGAAGGCAAGTCTTGTGGTTTTTCACTGTAGCTGTAGAGTTGGTAGACCGCTCCGTATGGCCCCAGACTGAAAAAGCTTATTTTGAATTGACAGGGCTGCTTTCATTCCCATTTTATTTGACTGACCAAGGGCATCGTGATATTCAGGCTGAATTTAGAGTAATGCAAATACACTGTAGATGTTAGTCGGGTGAAAGTTTTGTGTACAGTCTGTAATATATTTGCTCTAAGGCTTGTTTTGTGGTTAGTTTGTGTGTTAGTTTGTTGGCTATGTAACGCTCTTTGTGGTAGAGATGTAGTGTGTTGAACCAGTGACTTGTCGCGTGTGTATTCGTGTTTGCTTTATGTAGATATGCATTGTGCAATATATTCTTTGATACAGAGTTAATTGAGCATGTTTCCCTCACTGTTCAGGCTATGGGGATCTGTGGGATGATATACAGAACCTCCAGAAAACAGACAGTTTTTATGGCGTAAGTGTCAGTAGCACGGAGGAGCAGGGAAGTCAAGAAAATAGTGAAATGGAGAGAAAAGAGGAAAGTAGTGATGGGAAGAGGAGTGAGGACGAGGAGAGTGGGGATGAAGAAGACAATACAGAAGAGGACAAGGAGGAAGAGGAGAAAAGAGGTACCGTCAGTAGTTCTGTGCTGTAAAGTAGTGTGTTTGTGTGTGTTATGTTATAGGGGTTGCACACATCAAGCCAACAGAGGGCATGATTTAAAGGGTAAGGTGAAATGACAGATTTGGCCCACACTGTCACGCTGTCATCCGGCTCACATACTGCATGGAATGATGGCACTTAGACGGTCCGCGCCTGTTTTCAAAATCTGGGCGAGAACTAAGCCATAGCAATACTGCATGTGGCCCGATTCTGTTTCATGCTATTCGGGCCATATTCACCATTTACCACCTGGGCCAATTTAGATTCACATCCAGATTACACCTTGCTAAGAGCACCGCATGTTTGCCAAAAAAAAAGGCCCATTGGGATATTTTGGCCACATTCGCTTTTTAACAAGTGGGCCTTACTTACATTTTGTCCAGGCCACAGGAAGGCCAGTAATTCTGTGACATTGCCTGAAGTGACCCACATTCATATGTTATTTGGGATGCCTTATTGACTCTCTGTAACACACTGCCTGAGGGTCCAATTCATCCATTAAAATGATCATGATATATTATGCTGTGCTGACATTGTAAAAATATTTCTGATATATATCTAATATCTTGTAATGACATTTTCAGATACCTAAGTAGTGTAAAACAATTAAAAAACAATGTCAAATTATTCCAAGGTTATGTACCTTGGAATAATTTGACATTGTTTTTTTCTGAGGGGGTCCCCTGAATATTTTCTTGGCCAATGTGTGGGTGTTTTATCTTGTAAGGGGTCCTTTACTAAGAAACAGTTGAGAATCTCTGCACTAGTGTCCCAAATGTGTATCAATATGCAGCTGAAAGTAGTCCCTGTGTGTCATGAGTTATGTAGCCTGTAAAAATGTGTGTTTGACCTGTTATTAACCTGAAATGCTCCACAATTAATGCTTTGTTCAAATGGCACAGATTAATTATGCACACTCTCATTTCTATGCTAAACTCTTGGGTGTATCTCCATATCTCCATTTATCTCACATTCTGCTTGTCTGTTTTTAGTTTAAAGAGGAAGAAAAGCATGAGCACATTTTGCACTAGTTTCTACCGCCCTTGGAGTTATTTTTAGGGTGTGAGAAATATTTGGTTCCTTTTAAAGTCACTGAACG